AGTAGAATAGTGCTTTCATTTGAATGAAAAGTGTTTATAGAGTCAGAAAGAGAGTTAACGTCTTTGTATCTTGGTTTATATACAGACCCATTTCGGAGGGGGTTAAATGTCTTACAAATCCAGTAATTTCGAATAACAGTGTTGGCTATTTAAAAGAACATGTGGCAAGTTCTATATGAATATTCTTGGTCATCTCGACTAATTCTGAGGCAATGATGAACGGCTCTACCTCTTATTTAACTCTAGGCATGTTGACTTTTCAAAGCGATTTCCTTATTTCTAAACAAAGATGTTGATCAATTAGTTACTAATTCTTTAGAGGAAAAAATGTGTAATTTGAGTGTGGAGTTGATTTTATAATGACAGGGTAATTATTCAAGTTGTTTGATAAATTTATTACTATATCATAAGAGAGACATTTGACTGTTTTTCTTCCTTTTTCTTGGACATCACTTTCTTCCCTCCCCCTTCTCTCTTTTGTGTTTTTTTCCTTGTTAAATTTTATGTTTACGTTACCATCTTATACTTTCCCCTGATTTTTCTCTTTTAATTCCTCTTTCATTCTCTGCCTCTTCTCTTTCAGCTCTTTCTGTAATTGTGCCTATTCCTTGCTCAGGAAAAGTGGAGCTGTTAGTGGTAGAACCACTGCTCACTGCCTTTCTATTAAATGAGATTCTAGAAATACTTTCCACTTTGGCCACTGTTGCATTTTTGCAAAGGTAAAGTTCCCCTGCCATTTTGAAATAGCTGAACAAGTTAAAGTAATATGTTCCAAAAACTGGAAGTGCCATGAAAAACTAAAAATAAAAAAAAAAAATTTGTGACTATAACTCCTACTGTCTTTATGAATACACAGGATTCAGCAGCCAAGATGCTCACAAAATGGGATTGCTATAAATATGATGGATTCAGCATCTAAATTTGGAACAATCATATCCTTTTTGTTATGTGGATAGAGAGATTATATATCTTTTCTCAAAGTAAAGTATTTAAAACCTGTTTAAATGAGCATTTTGGCTGGCATGGTGGCCCACACCTGTAATCCCAGCACTTTGGGAAGCCAAGGTGGGGAGGATCACTTGAGGCCAGGAGTTTGAGACTAACCTAGACAACATAGCAAGATCCTATCTCTGGTTCAAAAAAATTTTTTTAATTAGGGTTTGGTTTGTTTTTTATGATTTTGGGAGGTGGGGGAGATCTTTGTTTTTTGAGGCAGATGTTTTAGATTTATCCCATCTTAAGATTTATTGATTTATAATATTGACACTGCCTACTTACAAGAAGGATTTGAGGCAGCATATATTGCCCATGTATTTTAACTATTTTCATTTTTCTCTTGCAAAGCACTATTTGATGGAAGACCTGGAATCTTACAGTTCTCATATCTGAGTCTTTCTGGCGTGTATTTGGTGTCTGTGTGCTTGTTTCACCCAGAGGTCAATTGAAACCTTCTTAATTATACTGTGGTATTGATTCTATCCCCTCAAGTATGAAAAAATTATTAAATTTTGAGACCATTTTTGGTTGCTGTGAATGTAGTTACACTAAGTTTTATTTTAAACTAAAATTCAATAAACAGTGCAGCCAGAGAAGAGCTAAACCATGCCATTATTTGGAAAATCATCGCAGTATATTAACAACTGCTTCCTTCTATGAAGTTTTACGAGATGCGAGAAAAATGCTCCATACCTTTAATATTGCAATTTTATTTTTATTGAGAAAAATAAAATATTAGGCTTCAGACCCAACTGTGCAAATTTCATTTGCTTTCCATCTCTTACTACTACCTCTGTGTCATAATTTAACACATAACATACAACTCCTGTCTCTTAAGGCAGCTACCATATGGTGTTTATGTCAGACTGGATATATTTATCTAATTTTGTGAAATTCTTTTTTAGTTCCCAACACAATTCTTGAAAGTAATACCACTGTTGTTACTCTTTCTCCTTACAATTTTTATGTTGTTGAGATGTATCAGTTATGTATTATAATCATGAAAATGTATTGGCCTCAAACCCAAATTTTCTTTGTAGTCTAGGATAGATTTTTCATGAAAGCTATATAGTTATAACTGTGATTGTATAGATCCTTTATTTGCTTTACAGTTACCATTAAGCATGATTCCAGGTTTTTAATTATGTTCTAGCAATACTAGTGTTTCTTTATAACTTGAAATCATAACCACTTTGATAATTTACCTTTGGATCTGACCAGTGATTCATTTTTTTCTTGAATATACTTTGTGTTTGCTTTCTCATCCCCATTAAGTCTGAAACATTATTGATAACCCACATCACTTACTCTGTTTAAAGACTTTACCAGTAGTGAGTCACATGTTTAGGATGATCAGTTTGGAAAAAAAAATTATAGAATAAAGGGGAAAAATGTTCTTGAGAGCTTTATTAAAACCATTAATATATAAAATGAAAAAATAAAACAATAAACAGAGACACAAAGTGTCTCTCAATACTTTAGAAAGAAAGACTTGGAACCTTAAGTAAAAAAGCTAGGTCAAGTAAAAATGTAATCCTGATGTAGATTAGATTCTCTTAATCTTATGAGCATTTTTTTTTAATTTGGTGAAGCTGTTTTGAAACTGCCTGTCCGTATCAATGCCAGACTATCTCTCTACCTCTCAAAGAAAATAATTTGCTTTAAAATTCCTTTTTTTGTTATGTAATGAAAGTATAGAACAAGAATTTGTACGTTACTCAGTGTGTACTGCAGTCAGATATAGTTAAAATAATTTTTCTAATTGCTAATTTTAACCACCGTTTCTGGAGTACCTAGTATGTGCAGGCCAAGGTTTTACCTATATTATTCCCTTTAATCCTCAAAGTAGCCTTGCAAAGAAGTTACTTTCATTTTACAGAAGAGTCAAGGATCAGGGGGTTGAAGTGATCAGGGGGACTAGAGTCACATACCTAAAGTCCAGGTGGATCACTATGTCTTGCTTTTTCAAAAGCAGTTCTTTCTACTACAGTACAATAGTTTCATGTTTTACAGTCCATTAAAACCCAAGACTTATAAAATAAACTAAAAATACTCTTGAGACAATTACTATTTCTATGAGAGCCATTGGGACAAATATACTTGAACATAACAAAGAACTTCAAATACTGTGAAAAAAAGATTTGTCTTAACGATGACCTTGAAAATTGCATTGGGTTTTTATTATTGGTCCAGGTTTAAAACATTTTATCTGTTTAAAACATATGTTGTGTGTTTTAAGAAGTTATGTTATAATAACAGCATTGTGGTTAAGAGCCCAGAGTCTGGGGCCAGACTTCTTAGATGCAAATCCCAACTCTGTTATTTACTAAATGCGTGACCTTGGGCAAGTTAATTAACCTGTTTTGGTGTCCTCCTCTGTGAAATGGAGTTAACAGTGGTTATTTAACAGAATTTAAAATGGAGTGTGTTCTAAAGTGCTGTGCCTGAAGCATTATCACCACTAAGTAGTTAGGGAAGTAAAATACATTTGGCACACATCATTCAAGAATGGCCAGAAAATCCACGTCTTCCCACAATAGGGACCAATTTTTTGCCTTTCACCGGACAACCACTGAACGTTAAGACTCTGCTGTGTGCTAATAACTGTCCTTGCTGTATGTGACAGAAGCTATTTGGAGCACTCTCAAGTGCTTACTATAGCTAGTCAAGGAAACTGCATATATAAAATAATACTGGATACACGACTATACAATTAAATACTGGTGTATCGCTAACAACGTTTTAGACCCTATTTTGTGTTAGGCATTGAGTTAGTCTCTGCCCTCATGGAGTTCACAGTTTTATAGGGAATACAGACCTTTTAACAAGTATGTCAAGTACAGTAAAAGACAAGTACAGATTAAAATGAGATCATAAAATAGCCTAGTCTTCTGTGGTTCAGATTAATATTGCTGTTAGTAGTCAGAAGGAAGTTTTTTTTAAAGAAATGAAAAAGCTCAGTGGTTAACGTAGAACTCAAGTGAGTCTTGATGGCTACCTAGATTTTGGATGAGTCCAAAGGCTATATGGGGGGATTTCAGGCAAAGATACTGTGAGCAAGGTATATCTGTGAAATAAAAAACAGTACATTTTGGTGTATTGTGTGAAACAAGGTTGGCTGTGAAGGATTGCATCCCTTCATAAAATTCCTTGAAAGCCAAGGAGAGTAGTTTAGATTTGAGATGGCAGGGGTCTGGAGTGATTTAAGAATAAATTATGAAACCAAGGAAGATAAACTTGCAATCATAAGCACGATAGGATATATACAGTATGGAAAGCTAAGGTAGGAAACTGTTGCAATTTTCTTGCTACGAGGCGACGATAAAGGATTGATTCACTAATGGTGGTCATATTGAGAAAGGATACTTAAGATTCCTGATATTATGGGGGGTGGGAGAAAAAGTTGATGGTAACAGTACATTATATGTGGATGATGAGTATATTGGTGTTAGCACTGTTAAAAACAGATTATGGAAAGGAATCTAAGTGATAAAGTAGCGTAATGACTAAATTTAGTTGGAAACTACTGCTGTAACAAATCTGTATACCATAGACCAAACAGCTGTTTAATGGCCGTTTAAAAATCTGTGCCATTATGGCAAAGGACATTTGCTCTGGTGCAGAATAATCTGATCCACTGTGCAGTGAATGAGCAGTGAGGGTTGATCCCCATGGCAGTCCAATCTTTGCTTATCAAGGAAGGATGGTGTGAAGTTTCTACAGACTTTCTGGTAAGTGATTGATAGGTGAGTTTATGCTTTGAGTTTATGATTTGATTGAGTTTATGCTTAGTGATTGATAGATGAGTTTATGCTTTGTCAAGTAAAGCATTTAATTGCAAATGTATTATGTTTACACAAATATTCTTAATTGGAAAGTTTCTGAATATGCACGTAAAAATGTTATGAAATATGTCAGGCAGGCTGATTTTTAACTTGAAAACTTGTACTTTAAGAAATTGTTTGGGTCCTATCGCCTATACCATGTAGAATAGAAACAAAAAGCCAGTTATTTAATTTTTAATCTGCAATTAAACCTCTTGGCCAGGAGGATCTGTTGTCCAACATTACATCGTAATAGCTTAAGAAAAAAAAATCTTATTTTGCCAGAAAGGGAATTATACAAGGATACGAAGGATCAAAGTCTGGGCAAAGACAATTCTAAGTTGTAGCTAAACATGCTTTTCATTTCCCTCCATTCCTTACTTTTGTCATGAGTATGGATTTTGAGGGGTAAGGCTGATAGGGCTGCCACATCAGTCATTAAAAATTGAGAATGCACAGTTAAATTGGAATATCAGATAAACAATTTTAAAAATATATGTAACACATATATGCCAAAACACTGGTTATCTGAAATTCCAATTCAACCGGGCGTCCTGTATTTTATCTGACAAGCCCTAACTTTTTCTTTAAAATAATTTGTTAACTTCCTACAAAAAATCTCTAAATGGGAGGGAAAAAAAAAATCCCGTAAGTTGTCTGGGCCAAAAGTAGAAGTGGCTCCATGGCAGTCAGCCTTCTCCCTAACTTGGTTTAAAAAGAAAAAGCCAAAACCACGAGTCCCAGAAGCTTGCGTTTAAAGCGAGCTGTGCCGCAGCCTTCCCGCCTGTTTCCTGCGGAATGTAGCTCAGCAGCCACCCCCCGTGGGTGGGGCTCGTATGATTGTGTCCTTGCTGGATGGGAAAGGAGGTGCCGGAAACTTCAAACCACGGCCAGGGTACAACGTGTCCGCTTAGGCGGCGGTATGCGCCGCCATCTTCTTTGCGGGCAAAGGCCGAAAAAAGTTTGGGACTCCACTTTTCCCCGCTGAGCCGACGGAGGGCATCGCCCGTTGCCTCAGCACTCCGGTGACGTGGAATCGGGGTCCCCTCTTTCGGGGCTGATTTCTGGTGGCACGTCGAAGCTTGCCAAGGCGGGGAAAAGGGACGCCGCCTCTGTCCCGGATGTAAGATGGCGGCGCGGGGGGCCGCCTGGTGGGGCGGTCACGTGGTGAGGAGTAGCGCGCGAGCCTCCTTAAGTGATCTCTAAGGTTCGTCCGGACGCACAGGAGCAGCGGAGCGCGAGACGGGTCTCGTGTCCGCACGCGTCGAGTCGTCGCCGTCGCCACCCGGGCCATCGACTGGCCCGGTTTCACTGTTAAGGGGTTTTCGTTTGTTCCGTTTTCGCCTCCTGCAGAACTGAACGGGATTTCCCCGAAGGGTTCTGGGGAACCGGTGGCCTGGGGACTTCCCGGCTATGCCTTGGCTGCTGGTTTGGCGGAGCCGGCGGCCGCCTCTGCAGGATGCGCCCCGGCGATTGTCGGCGCCGAGAGCGGGCCGACGGCGGGTGCGGCAGCGCGGCGCGGGTGGGGGCCCGGGTGCCGGGCTCGGCCACAGCCCAGCCCCCACCGGGGGCTCGGAGCAGGGAGGGGCGCGAACGGCGCAGCTCGGGACGTGGCGGCAGCTCCTAGCGGGCGAAGCGCGGGAGCGCTGCTCGCTGCCTCTCGGGGGCCGTCCAGAACCAGTTGGTGTCTGACTGCGCTTTTGCCGCCCATTTCCTTTTTTCGAGCGGTGAGGCAACGCGCTCCCCTCGGGCAGTGGAGGGAGCGGCTTTCCTCGCAGGACACCGGCGCCCTTCTTCAGAGCGGTGGCTGACGTAGAGAACGCCGGCTGTAACACCCGGGCGCCGGCGCCGCCTCTGATCCCCGTAGCTCTCGGGGCGCGCCGGGAGGAGCCGAGGCGCTGGGTGCTGGGCGGGGTCTTCGGGCGCGGCGCGACGGGGAAGGGAAAGGAAAAGAAGGGACGGCGGGCCGACGTCGGCGGCGAGGAAGGACGGAGAAGCGCCGGAGCCGCTTTGCTGCCCTCCGCGTGGTCCCGTGCCTCCCCTACACCATGGCCCTGGCTGAGGTAGTAGTTTGTGCTGTTGGTCGGGTTGTGACATTGCCCGCTGTGGAGATAACTGCGCAAGCTACTGCCTTGCTAGTGCTGGTGATGCTCAGCGCCGCGGAGGACAATGGCTGGGAATCCCCTTTGTTTTCCGGGGCGCTGCCTGGGGACAGCCCGCGAAGCCTCGGCGCCCGGCCGGCGCGGCCAGCACGGAAACCGTTAGTTTCACATTTTCCTGGAAGAAGGAATTGAGGGGAGTGGGGTGGACCGCGATCTTTTTTAAAGGTGGGGGAAGAGCTAAGCCATTGGATTCCTTCTCTTGAAGGAAGGAATGGAATTGTGTAAGATAACTTTTTCACCCTGAAGAATTCTAACGCTTCTTTCAGCAGTTAAATGCCAGATTTAGTGTGTACCTGTTTTACTTCAGTCTTTAGCTGTAGGTTGGAGTGGAATGAGCGATCTGCAGAACTGGCTTTGTAGGGGCAGAAGTAGACCTGATAATTAAAGTTTATGCCTTAACATTTTAGATCTGGTTTCTGATATGCTGTCTTAGTAAATCTGAGCGTGTCTTCAAAAATGTGAACCCAAAGCAATTTAAAGTTTTTCTTTAAACTTTCCAACTCCGTGAATGAGAAGATTGAATTTATTTGTAGGTAATTGCACTATTCTGATTTTTTAATGTATGAGGCAAACAAATAAATTCTATGTACAGTGTGCTGTGAATGGTTTTGTTTTTTGTTGTTTTTTTTTTTCTTTTTAGTTTAACCTTGGGGCTCAGATTCTGCTGTGGTGGTGGGTTAGCTTTTTGGTTTTTATGACCTTTGATTCCAATGTTATGTGGTACTTACATCTTTGAGGTTTTGTATGGGAGAAGAGGACTAGGAATTGAAAGTGTGGTTTCTAGATTTGAGTTTAAAATCTACTAACACTCATTTTGATTCCTGAGTGGCCACTACTCCTAATAGCAAAATATCTTTGCATAGAGTAAAAAGGTAGTTTGGATAACTAATGAAAATACTCAGTGTTCTAATATCCTGAAGTCTGCGTGGAAAACCAGATACTTGTATTTTTGCATTTTATTTTCACTGAGGGAAATAAGTGGTCAGGTTTAGTACTTTTCTTTGAAAATTGATGTGTATTTGTACAGAATAGATAGTTTTGAATATAATGTAATCACAATTTTGTATGGTTTTCTGATGCTCTGTTAAAAAAAAAAAAAGGCAGTTCTTTAAACCAACCAAACCCTTCAGCAGGAGTTCGATGCTTTTATCATTCAAAAGTGATCTGATATATGTACCTTGATTGGGTTTGGTTTAGCCTTGAGAATAACCTTACTTAATCTGATCTCATCAGGATGGAGCGGCCTCATTGTGGAAAGGGCGGTGAAGAACCTTATCTTGAATCTTAAGATGCAGAAAATACTTGAATGTTGGCTAAGTATGCTTTTCTTGATAGCAAAGCAGAGGAAATTCAAAGCTTTATTAAGTGCTTGTTTTCTTAAATAATGAAAACCTCTGGGGTGTTATGTCAAATCTTGGTTTATGGAGAAACTAATCATAACATGTTAATTGCATTATGATTTTATTTTCCGAAACACTTCATTCAACCAACCAAGGTAATCATCCAACCCACTACATTCTAACATTTTTATGGAGAATCAACAGTTGTTAATCTGCATCCCAAAGTATAACAAATTCTGCTGATAATTTAAACTTTCAGTGGATAAGCACACCAGAAATGCTCAATGTTCTTTATATCTTGTACTTTTAAATTTTATCCACAACTACATATTGCCCAAATAGTAGTAACATTTTTGAGTTACTGGATGTAAAGGTACTTTGAGAGGTTAACTGTTTCCCAAGTTACAAGAGAAAATACTGCCACCAGTCGACTTGTTTTAGTCCCATAGCTATATTTCTGCTCTAATCTCCAATTTTAAAAATGAATCTGCTAATTACATTTGTCTACACACCAACTGAAAATTACCAACTGAACATTTTCCTTGTTGACAGTTTCCTACAAGATGAATTTGCCTTATCAAAAATACAGCTTTCTGAATTTAGTATTATTGACATTTACTTGGTGCAATTAACTTTTTTGTTAAAGGTCTACTGTCAAGCATTTAAGTAATTTGTAGTTGCAAAAAGCCACTGATGGAAAGTAATAAGGCCGTATTTTGAGTGCCCTTCTCAATAAGTACATACTAAACCAAAGGAAAGCTGGATTATGGTAATAACATTTTAATAAATGCCATCCTCAATTGGAAATGGAGATGATGTTATGGTATATAGGACACACCATATGGAGAAGATTCTTGGAGAACACAGTTTTGCTTCATACTTCAAAATCCTGATTGCTAATCTAACATAGAAAAGCTTTGTTTACAAGCTACTTTAAAATAACCTTTTGGCAGGTAGGCAAGGGTGCACTCAAGAGATTGTGTCTTGTGGAGTGGTCCCCAAAGAATTCCTGCCAGAGGCACCTGACAGCACAGATTAGCTCTTCAGTGTATAAGCACAAAGCACCCAAAAGGCAGAGATTTCTTCCTGGCTACATGTTCTCTCCCCCTATTGTTTATTACACTCCACCCCCTCCATGGTAAAGAAAGCTGACAAAGGAGGTACTATTAATTTCCTTTCCCATTGAATAATCACCTCTGTAATTTCTACAGCAAAAGGTAAATAGGACAATCATCTTCAAAAATGAATTAGGCCAGACTGGTAATACCCAAAAGGAGAATTAATGACCATTGTCATAAACTCTGAAAAGCTGTTGGTGCTACTGATATCTAGATAATTAAGCAAAAATTTGAAAATTATTTCTAAGATTGCATAATGAAATTCACTAAGTGTTTTTGTTAGGTTATCCCTGTTGGGCACCATGGGGAAAGCAAAATAATTGTATAGTTAGGTCATTGCCCCAAAGGAAAACACAGGAAAGATGTTGTTACATGAAGTGTTTAAGAATCAAAATGTAATTAGCTGAGTGTGGTGGTGCGTGCCTGTGGTCCCCACTGAGGTGGGAGGATCTCATGAGCCCAGGACTTTGAGGCTGCAGTGAGCCATGATTGCACCACTGCAGCCTGCACAACAGAGTGAGACTGTCCAAAAAAAAAAAAAAAATGTGAGCTCAGTGCAGTGGTGTGCACCTGTAGTCCCAGGTACACTGGAGGCTGAGGCAGGAGGGTCTTTGGAGCCCAGTAGTTTGAGACCTTCCTGGACAAAATAGTTGAGATTCTGTCTCAAGAAATTAAATAAATAATCAAAATGTGGGCAGGTGAGAAAAACATTAGTGACGTACTTCACTTTTGAGACCTGGCAGAAAAGTGATTGAACGAGCTAAAGGAAGAGAAGTATGGAGCACTCCAAATATTATAGTGTAGTAATTTAGGGAGTTCTTTTGGTTATGTCTGTTGCCTGAGATCTTGGAGATGACAATCATAGTGATAACGATATTCTAGGTGATTTACAGTTCAATTTCGTATTATCTGCTACAAATATGCTGGGAGTGTCATCAGAATTAAGAGAAATAGTTCTACGTGGAATTTGTTTTCTTATCTCAAGTTGAAAAATTTTTTTTTTGGTTACATTTATTTTACAGTTACCTTTCTTTAAAAGTGCTGTTTTGTTCAGATGTAATGGAATTGTGCCTACACAGGATTTTTGGCCACTAAATTTGTGAATAGGGTCCTTTTAAGGCATACCATTGACACTTGATAGTATAACTGTAGTCTTTTAGTTGTATCAAATACGAACAAACCTAAAATACAAATCTTGTGTTGTTTTTAAGGATAAGTTCCCAGTTCTTTCCTCTTATTCAATATCAGACACTTGTGGAAAATATATTATTTTCTTCGAATCAGTTTACAAATTCCGTTAGTTCCATTATAATATAATTGAGAGTATTTTATCATGGAAGTCAGGAGTTCGCAGAAAGCCAAACAGTATGATATGTCACAGAAAATTCAAGTAAATTAAGGACTAAAAGCTACACAGACATTGACAGTTTAGATCATATATGTAGTTGTAATGTGTTTTCTGTTACACATGAAAAATCCCTTAACTGCTCTTTGGTTGAGTAATAAACAATTACGGGTGTTTTATCTCACTTTGAAGGTAACTACCCACAAGATTCAGAGATTGCTGTTTTAGTATTCTGCACATAGTATATTTTAGAGTCCTTGTTAAACAGAAGTATTATGTAGATACAGGGCATGGGCTAGTTTTAGTCATAATAGTAACACCGAGTTAATGTTACCATAATAGACGGCTGAAAGAACTGACTAAACTCTAAAAACAGATACATAAGCAAATTAAAATATATTTTTTCCTGTTTTAAAAACAAATTTACATACTTTTTAAGAGTTTAGATGAAAACCTAAGAATAAGAATCCTATCTGCCAGTCATTTCTTTTTGTAGTGAATGAAGCTTATACACAATAAATAAGTTCCAGATAAATTCAACAGGTGAATCGGATACCTACTATATGCCAGGCGCTGGGGATATACAGAAGATAAAACCAAAAAAAAACAAAAACAAAAAAACACCCATTCCACATTATGGAATTCATATTGTAAAAGGAATACATTTGCCTATAATAATAATTACAGAAATGTAGTGAGGACAATCCATGGACCACCTGAGTTTTCAAACCTGAGTTCCAGTCATACACCTGTTCTAGAGCCCTTGCTCCAAAACCACTATTGATATTGCAGTTGTATGTTTAAAAAAAGCCAGTTCCCATTGATTTTTGTTATAATTGTACCTGCATTAAAAAAAAAAAAAAAAAGATGATAATTTAGTTTCACTAGGGCTGTTTTCCTTCTTCTCTTTCTCTCTCTTTTTTTTTTTTTTTTTTTTTTTTTGATGGAGTCTTGCTCTTGCTCTTGTTGCCCAGGCTGGAGTGCAATGGCACGATCTCGGCTCACTGCAACCTCCATCTCCCAATTCAAGCGATTCTTCTGCCTCAACCTCCCAAGTAGCTGGGATTACAGGCACCCGCCACCACGCCCGGCTAATGTTTGTATTTTTAGTAGAGATGGGATTTCACCATGTTGGCCAGGCTGGTCTCGAACTCTTGACCTCGTGATCCACCCACCTTGGCCTCCCAAAGTGATGGGATTACAGGTGTGAGCCACCGCACCCGGCCCGCCAGGGCTGTTTTCTATCTCCTAAACAGGATGACACTGCAGGAGATACTTCACCTTTAAGAGCTTACAATGTTGTAGCAGGTGCCCAACTATGTTGTGGAGGAATCTAGACCACATAGCTAGACATCACATTTTATGATGTACACTCTAAACGTTGTAAAAGTTCGAAGAAGCAGGAGTGCACTGTGAGTAGGTAGAGAATGCATCTCTCTGGAGCAGAAATGTCAGATTATTTTAACAGTATAAGCTATGGAGAGTGATTGTGTGCCTTGTGGTGCCTGAGAACAGGAAAGAAAGAATCAAGTATCTATTCTACCTTCCTTATATAATTTATACCTCAGGGTAACTAAATGGTTGTGAGGGAGATTTCCTCATTATAGAATAATTCCAGTTTCTCAGTGCAGAAGGTCTGATAGAAATAGAATGTTAACATTTACAACAGCTCATGAAATAAAGCTAGACCTCTTCAATGACTAACTTAATGGTTAAAACCATTAAGTAAAATGCTGATGGAGAAGTATTTGATAAATGAATCAGTAGTAGAGAAGTATTTAATTCATGGATCAGGCTAACCACACTTAAGCTCACTGATCAATTTTAACATTACAAAAACAGATAACTAGATATTCTAGTTCAAATAATTGAACTAGATAGTGGTTTACTAAAACTCTAGACTCTCATCAACTTTCTAGATCTGACGATCAGTTTATTAGAAATTTAAGATATAGAGGAACATTGTTAAATCACCACAGGAGTGCAAGTAGCAAAAATCCACACTGAAATTCCACAGGACAAATAATCTGATTTAAGGAAAAAAGGGCAGGAAAACCTGTAGAGTAAAATGAATTTAAAGACATTTATCAGTTTAATTGCCATGTGTAGGCCTTGTTTGGATCCTAATTTGATCAAAGCTAACCACAAACACATTTATGAGACAATTGGAGAAATGTAAAAACTGACGATATTGGAAGTTCAAGAATTGTTTTTGAAAATGGTATTGTCGTTGTATTTTTAAAAATATTTTGGTATATGCATACTAAATAATTTACTAATGAATTATATGATGTTCGGACTTTGCTTCATACTTTAATCCATGGGGGTTGGAAAGCATATATGGGAGTACACAGGAAAGAAGCTTGTCCTTGTGTTGGTATTGGTGATGGGTGATGGGTGATGGGTAGATGGGTTTTTTTAAATTCTGTTCTACTTTTGTGTATATTTAGAATGTTCTGTAATAAAAACTCAAAAACAACATGTAAAACAAGAGAAAGATTCCTGTGGTTGAGAGGCAACCAAAGCAAACTGAGAACATATACAAAACCATGCGAAGGTCAGTAAGGTGCAGCTAAGTGTTCTTAGGGTATCCTCCCAGGCCACTTTGAAATACTACCTTGAAGTCTATCAGAGGATCAGTCCATTTTCCTTATACTCCAGATCAAATATATTGACTAATATAGTGGAAGTTCACACACACCCACAACAAGGATACCATTGTTTAAATATATCTATTATAATTAAAACTAGTAATTAGAATTAATAAGAGATGCGTCAAGAACTTGTACTAAGTACTTTATAAAGTACTTGCTTTAATGTTATCCTATTAAACTTAGTAACTTTCCATTTTAAATATTACTTTGCTAGTTCCATAGCCTTTTTCTAGAAGTATGCCTTATTTAAAATTCTGAAACAAGTACCCTAAGCAAAATCAGCTCACTAAAAAAATTTGTTTGGCTTTAACTGCTTTCAGTAAGCTTAGTTCTGCTTTTCCTCTTTTCATCTTATTTTATTATTCCTCCTGTCTAACTGAAACTTTGTACCCTTTAGTCAACATCTCCCCATTATCTTTTTTTTTTTTTTTTTTTTGAGACGGAGTCTCGCTCTGTCACCCAGGCTGGAGTACAGTGGCCGGATCTCAGCTCACTGCAAGCTCTGTCTCCCAGGTTTATGCCATTCTCCTGCCTCAGCCTCCCGAGTAGCTGGGACTACAGGCGCCCGCCACCTCGCCGGCTAGTTTTTTTGTATTTTTAGTAGAGATGGGGTTTCACCATGTTAGCCAGGATGGTCTCGATCTCCTGACCTCGTGATCCGCCCGCCTCGGCCTCCCAAAGTGCTGGGATTACAGGCGTGAGCCACCGCACCCGGCCTAACATCTCCCCATTATCTTACCCCCTCTCTCTATAGGCTCCTGGTAACACTAGTCTCTCCTTTCTGCTTCTCTGAGTTTGACTTTTTTATATTCCACATATAAATGAGATCATGTAGTACTTGTCTTTCTGTGCCTGGCTTATTCATTTAGTATAATGTCCTCCAAGTTTAAACATGTTGCAAATGGTAGAATTTTGTCCTTTTAAACGGTCAACTCTAATAATTGTTCTAGCAATTTATTTGAATTTTTGTGTTTCCAGTTAGATTCCTTAATTTTTTTCTTAATCGTGTGTGTGTGTGTGTGTGTGTGTGTGTGTGTGTTTAGACAGGGTCTCACTGTCGTCCAGGCTGGAGTGCAGTGGCGTGGTCACAGCTCACTGCAACCTTCATCTCCCAGACTCAAGCGATCTTTCCACCTCAGCCTCTTGAGTAGCTAAGACTACAGGCACACGCCACCACCCCTGGCTAATTTTTGTATTTTTTGTAGAGACAGGGTTTTGCTATGTTGCCCAGGCTGGTCTCAAAACTACTGGGCTCAAGTGATCGCCCGCCTCCGTCTCCCAAAGTGCTGGGATTATAGGTGTGAGCCACTGCGCCCGGCCCCCATCAATATATAACACTTAGCAGTTAAGTTCATTGTGCTTCTACATATTACCAATGTTATTAATCTAATAATTTAAATATTTAACTGAGTTCTCTTGCTTTGAATATATTAGCACACTACAAAGGTAAAAAAATGTAACCAACTTGTGGATCAAAAGAAACAATGGTTTTGCATTTTACTAAGCACAGAAATTATCATGTTTTTGAATGTCTACCACA